TTATAGATTTTCGTTTATTGACGTTGTGGACGTGGCAGTGGTCTGATTACATTCCTTACGCCAAGGAATAAGTGTACTATGTTTAATTACGATATTTAAATTTTTGCTTAAGTTACAGCTTGCACAGACAGGCGGACGGACGGCTCAGAATTCAACTCGTCTCGTCATCCTGATCATTTATATATACATAACCCTATGTCTATCTAGATTAGTTTTAGGTGATGCAAACAACCGTTAGGTGAACAAAACTATTATACTCTGTACATGTCGCAAGAGTATAAACAGATTGGATCTTGAAAAAAAGGCCCAGTAAAAAGAGAAAAGCTGAACTATCTCCTCAGCTTATGATTCCGGCGCCAGCAAATTTTATAAAATGAGACGTCAGAGATCAAACAGAAAAGAAAATCACACGACTTAAACCAATATCGAGGGACTGTGAATACCAAAAAATTTATAATAATGGGGATAACATAACGAAGCAAATAAAGGATTTTCTATTAACCTTTTAAATAATAACACATATAAAATCAATACATCAGACGCTGATGATTATAGAAAGTTAACCAAATTTTATTTATCCTGAATTTACCATGGTTTTCTAATAAAAAATAATAATTTAATAAAAATAATAATAATTAGATATGTTTCTTCTTACTTTCAATGCAACTGAAAATATTAATAACATATATGGAATTAAAACAATATTACATTCTGTCGTTGTCACTGAGGCTGTAAAGCAGTCAAAGATCATACTACAGTACAAATTGGGCCAATCATATTGGCATTCTCACAACTACTGTGGTAAGCAAGCAAGAGGTCTGAAATATGCAGGAAAGCATAAGACCATAGAGTATCAAAAACTAAATCAATTTATAAATTATAACAGTACCGTTATATGCGGAGTGGACGGGCTTGTCACCCGATTTCACCCATTTTCACACCGTCATTAGAGGTGCTACAAACATTTTCTCCCAGTGAATTTGATTACTATAGCTATAGCGGTTTAGGAGATATGCACATTTAACTTACGGGGACCACGCCCACTTTTTAAAAAATATTTTAGCTGCAGATGCCACTCCCTAATGTGATCCTTTGTACCAAATAACAGTCTTGTATCGTATTGCGAAGCTTAGTTATGGCAATTTATTTGTTTTTTATTAATGGCGTTTTGTGGGCGCGGCAGTGGTCCGATTACGCCCATCTGCAATACCAACCGTCCTGCGGTACCAAGAAACATGTGTATCAAGTTTCATGAAGATATCTCAATTGTTACTCAAGTAACAGCTTGCACGGACGGACGGACAGACAGTCACCCGGATTTCAACTCGTCTCTTCATCCTGATCATTTGTATATATATAACCCTATATCTAACTCGATTAGTTTTAGGTGATACAAATAACCGTTAGGTGAACAAAACTATTATACTCTGTAGCTACAAGTTGCGGGAGTATAAATATAACTCTCAACTTTTATCTGAAAAGTTTATCTAACGATCATAGGAATAATTATTCTCTTTGGAAGGTTTGGTACAAAAATCTTTTTTCGACCCATAATTCAGCATTATCCAATCATAAAGACAGATCAGACGTGGACTAAAAGCAATAAGGAGAAAGCAACTGTTTTTTCGAATTGCCTTGAAAGTGTCTTTAAACCATATGACACATCTAATGCAGCTGAAATGGATCCTCATGATTCCGACAATTACACCGAAATCCCTCTAGTAACTAACTAGCGCAGAAATAAAAAAATTGATTTCTACAAAATCACCTGGGTTTGACCTTATTATCAGCGAAATACTAAAACAGATTCCTCAAAATGTTATAAATAAAATTACTGCTATAATGAACGCTACTCTTAATCTACAATACGTATATATTTACTGGAAAACTGCATGATATTTTAGCTTGAATGGTTTGAGAGATATGTACATTTAACTTATTAGAAGGCGGGGCCACGCGATTTTTTTTTTTAGTTTTTATCCCACAGGTGCCCCTTTGTCCTGCGACCTTTTGTGCCAAATTACAGTTTTATATCTAATTTTAGTGCTTAGTCATGACACTTTATGGGTTTTCGTTTAATAACGTTTTGTGGGCGGGGCAGTGGTCCGATTACGCCCACCTACGAACTCGTCCTTACGCCAAGGAATACGTGTACCAAATTTCATTACGATGTCTCACTTTTTACTCAAGTTACAGCTTGCACAGGAAGATGGACCGACGGACGGACAGACAGCATATCTCGTCCTTTACACGATGTCAACACATTGCCACTTACTTTGCCGAGAGAAGTTTATATAATTGATGCTTGCTGATAGGAAAGTTGCACGAATAGCAAGACAAAATTACATAATAAAATTGAACTTAACATGATGACCTACGCGATGTGAGTGAGTGGTTAGCATTCTCTCTTTCTCTTCAAGCAAATAAGCTAAACTAATATATAACAAGTCAGGAAGGGCTAAGTTCGGATATAACCGAACGTTTTTGAACTCTCGCAAAGTCAAATGGTATAATTGTTTGAGATTTCTTTGTGGATCTTGCCGCCTTGTTCTATGTTGACCGATATTTTCGGTAAAAAGTCACCTATATGCCCTGGGGTTTACATATTCAGTACCTAGGGTCTTGAACAGTTTTGGTTCAATTTAGAAAATTTTTGGTCACAAGGTGACATACTTGAAACACATTATTCACGCAAAGTTTTACCCCGATACAATCATTATTGCTTGATTTGCATACTGGAAAGTGAAAGAATCAAATGGAATTTAAAATTATCACCCGATTTTACCCATTTTCACACTGTAGGTAGAGGTGCTAAAAACATTTGATTCCTGTGAATTTTGTTATTATAGATTTAGCAATTTAGGAGATATGCACATTAGACCAATTAGGGGCGGGACCACGCCCACTTTAAAAAAAATTTAATTACAGATGCCCCTCTTTAATGTGATCCTTTGTACCAAATAATAGTCTTGTATCTTATTGCGGAGCTTAGTTATGGCAATTTAGTTTCACACTCTTTGAGGAAAATCAATACTTTGTATGTGCACATTTGCCTTCTGTCACGGGTTGCTGTCTTTTATTCATGGAATGCATAGAACTTTGTATAAATTCAGGAGGTATATTTGCCCATATTTCCTGAAGAGCATCCTTAACTTAATTTTTATACTCTCGCAACTTGGTGCTAGAGTATAATAGTTTTGTTCACCTAAGGGTTGTTTGTATCACCACAAGCTAATCGAGTTAAATATAAGGTGCAGTTTGAAAATTTGTTAAAAAGAGGGCGTGGTCCCCCTCCTAATGGGTTTAATGTGCATATCTCCTATACCACTGAAGCTATAATAACAAAATTCACTGGGAACAAATGCCTTTAGCATCTCATACTAAAAGCGCGATAAATCAAACACTAAACGAGCCAGAGACATTAAATTTCATCCCTGGTATGGTATAAGATGATTTTATAGGAACCACGTTCAAAATTAGATAGTGGGCGTGGCACTTTTAGGTGAAAACCCATATCTTGGGATCCGCTTAACAGATTTCAACGGAATTTGGTACATAACATTCTATTCATATTTTTATATTATAGTGGGAAAATGGGCGAAATCGGATTACAACCACGCCTACTTCCCATATAACACCATTTTAAATTTCATCTGATTTTTTTACCTTCCAGTATGCAAATCAAGTATTAATGATTATATCGGCGTAAAACTTTGCGTGAATAATACGTTTAAAGTATGCCACCTTGTGACCAAAAATTGTTTAAATCGAATCAAAACTGTTCAAGCCCCTAGGTACTAAATATGTGGACCCCAGTGCCTATAGTTGACCTTCTACCGAAGATATCGGTCAATCCACAAAGAAATCTCAAACGAGTATACCATTTGACTTTGCGAGAGTATTAAATGATCGGTTACATCCGAACTTAGCCCTTCCTTACTTGTTTCTTTTAAATTTCCGCATTGTTTGAGGTCACCATAAAATATTCGTTTGCTTTTGAGTTGTAGAAAGAAAACGTTTTGAAAAATGTAAGTATTTTAATAATTTTCATTAGATATTATACTATAGATAATAAGTTTAAATACAAAATTATTTTCAATAGGGGCTCGACTAGCAAAAGACAGCATACAAAACAAAGCCAATTTGAAACCATTGTCGAATTTATGCAATCAAATCCAAATTTGGTGAGAAGATACATAAAATGTGCAGATGCTAAACAAACAAGTAAAAATTTGTAGGGGCGGTTGAGTAAAGAACTATAGGTAATGGCTAAAGGTAACTTTCTGTGTAAACCAAATAACTTTAACTATTATAGGTTGTAATGAAACACCTATGAATTGATTTTTATTTATTTAGCTTGCATTTAAGATTGAGGCGGATTACAAGACTCACCTTAAGGCAAAAGCTCGCAAAAATAAACCTCATATGTCGGGACAGGTAGTGAGATTGCAAAAGTTAATTCAGTCGAATTAAAGGCATTCGACTTATTGCAGATAAATAAAGCTAGATGGAATATTAGGTGCTCAAAATTACGGTGTATGAACAACTAAAGACACACTAAGCTACAAATGTGAAACCACAGATTCAAGCAATCCGATCAACATACATAAGTGATTTGCAGAATCTTGAAGAATTATCACTATTTACTGCACCTTCTCGCTCCCTAACGTCACCCAAATGTAGCACTGTGTTTTTCCGAACCAGATTCAAAAACAATCCTTCGAAAATTCACGTAGATGGTCAAACCAAGAATCACAATAATTGTGATATGATCTAAAAAGACATTAATTACAATTTAAAATCGTTTACGAAGTATAATAAGAAATTTGTTGAACAAATGGAAGAAAAAACATAACTAGAAAGACAAAAACTAAAGTTTGAACAATTAAAACATGAGTATGAAATCAAAAGCGACATGGAGAAAAAAAAAAAAGAATTTCCGAACTTAAAATTAGGGAAAAAATGTTAAATGTTAATATTCCTTATAGAAATAAATCGAATACCATATAATCTTTTGTTACTTTTTTGTCATTAATCAGATTAATTTCCTTTGCATAGTTACGAACACAAGCTTATTTTAAATCGGTCTCGAATTGTTTGCGCCATTCGCGAAAACTCGTCTTGTTCCATGTTGGGTATCGCTAAATTATATCGATGTTCGTCAATTTCAATACCTGTTCGTACTTCAACGTTGTATGCAAGGCAATTGGTATGCAGGGCACAACAAGCGTTCAAAATTCGAATAACTTTTGGTACATAGTGAAGCTCTCTTTCAGCAAGCAGGCATCGAAAAAGCCTTATCAAAATTCCAAACACACGCTCGATTATTGATCTTGCTTATGTAAATTTTTCATTATACAAACTTTCCAGTGAATTTTCGTCTACATTACGGTAAAGTGCAGGAAGCCATGGCTCCAATGGAAGTTCAGGATCACCTTAAAAAGAGAATATAATGAGTATATAAAAACTCGTGATAACCCATATGTTTGTGAATATAAAACGTTAAGTATATAACCAATAAGTATTAGGTAATTTATAAATACAAGTACAAGTTGTATGCATAAAATCAGGGACCAATTATCCATAAATATTTATCTTCATTTTGGTAGTTGGATAGCATATATTGTCGTTCGTTTGAAAGGCTCCATACGTGGGTATCATGCGGCGTTCCACAATAGACTCAGAAATATAATCATAAAGTAAAATAAACAGGTATGAATAAAAACTCGTAATATAAACTGACTACCATAGCATTGATGCTATGCTTTAGCTTTCGATTAAAAAAGATATGTTCATCTTTTACTGGTCTAACCATCTGGATGTGAGTTCCATCAACAGCACCTATTATTCCTGGTAATCCACTATTTGAGTAGAAATACTTTTTAGCTTCATGCTTTTCTTGTTCTTGAGTTCATTTAAAATTTTATATGTTTCGGACACAATGTTTTTTCAATCGCACTCAATACTTCTGCAATATATTTAGATGTAGTGGATTGTGCTAACCCTGCAAACCGGTCTTGCCCTATTTGATGCTGATAGCCTCCGTGGCCAAGGAATTTTAAAGTAGCAGCAAGTTTTACAGCTGGACTTACTGCCGTGGATCGTATAGACACGGTTAGTTCCTGATTTATACTTGTTAAGACGGAATCAAATGCTTCCATGGATAGCCTAAAGTTTTGTATGAAGCTGTAGTCCCAAATGCAAAAGCAGTTTATAATCGAAATATATATGCACTTAACAAATTACCTATTTTGTGATTATGCCATAATATTAAATTAATGTCTTAAAGATCTTCTCGCAATCTTTTCCTCAACAATTTCTCCGTCCTCCACCCATAATTCAACGGAATCAATTCTTTTGAAATGTACACTTATTTAATTTTATTTTGATATTTAGCATTCGTAAATTTTGTCACAGGGTGGTACAACTTTCGGATAAATATAAGCCTAATGCGAAATTTGTACAGAATGCTGAAACATATTCCAGTCGAAAAATTAATTAGAATAAATTTTCGATTCGAGTTACAGAATAGGGCCTCTGGGCCGCAGTGACTCACTCGAAAGTTACTACATTTTCGTATTCATTTAGTGCCGACTGGCACTGGCTAGCATTTACTTAGCTTTGGTAAACATTATTTTTTTGTTAGTTCGGTAGAAAAAGAGTTTTGAGTCGAAGTACATCTGTAATTTTTATAACTATGTACTTATGTTGTAGTAATTTTAATTGGTGTTGTTTTCGTGTGGTTCCGGAGTTAAATTTTTTGGTCACCCCTGATGTTTAGCGTAAGCCCAACATACACCAAATTTTTGTACAGTCGGTTCTCCTTTTCACGTGATAATGGACAAAGGTTTTGTACGCGCAATTTTGTAATAAAGATACTTTGAAATACAAATTATAAAACATATTCACACATATTTACATATGCTCAATATTTACATTTCAGATTTGCGGTATTTGCATTGGGTTCTTCCGCTTATCCCAATTTTTGCGCCTTTGGCCAATATGTTGACAATGTACTCGGTGAGTTAGGCGGTGAACGATTGCTAAAGATAGCATATGGTGATGAAATGTGCGGACAGGAACAAACTTTCCGTAAATGGGCACCTGAAGTATTCAAAGTAAGTCATTATAAACTTTATATTAGGAATTTCTAAATTACTTACATATGTATTATGAACTTCAAAACTACAACTTGGAACAAATTTTTTAATTCATTTAAAGCTCGCTTGTGAGACGTTCTGTTTAGATCCAGAGGAGAGTTTGTCGGATGCCTCATTGGCTTTACAAAATGAATCATTGACCGTAAATACCGTGCGTTTGGTTCCCTCGAAGCCTCGTGGTTCTTTGGAGGAGTTGTTATCCAAATTTCATAACAAAAAAGTTTATTGTTGTCCTATTAAAGAAGCCCCAATTAATCTTACCAATATTGGAAATGGCGAAAGGACTACTATTCTTCTGAAGATTAGTGTGCCCGGATTGGAATATGAACCAGGCGATCATGTTGGAATATTTCCAGCAAATCGGGAAGATATTGTTGATGGCATTTTAAAACGACTCACTGGTGTAGAAAATACGGAGGAGGTCTTGCAACTGCAATTGCTTAAAGAGAAGCATACATCGAATGGCATTTTCAAATTATGGGAATCCCATGATAAGGTGCCACCAGATTCAGTTCGTAATTTATTGTTGCGTTTCTTCGATATAACCACACCACCAACGCGTCAAATGCTCACTCTTCTCGCTGGATTTTGCGATGACAATCAGGACAAGGAGCGTTTGCAATTGTTGGCTACTGATTCTTCGGCATATGAAGACTGGCGACACTGGCGCTTGCCACATTTACTGGAAGTTATGGAGGAATTCCCTTCCTGTAAACCACCTGCAACGCTGGTGTTGGTTAATTTAATGCCGCTGCAAGCTCGATTTTACTCGATTTCCTCTTCGCCACGAAAAGTCAACAATGAAATACATTTAACGGTGGCCATCGTTCGATACCGGTCAGAGGATGGTAGTGGTGACGAGCGTTATGGCGTTTGTTCAAATTATCTAGCCGGCCTAAATAATACTGACAAATTACATATGTTTGTGCGTAGTGCACCTAGCTTTCATTTACCTCCCAATCACGAACGCCCTATTATTTTGATTGGGCCAGGTACTGGCATAGCACCATTCCGCTCTTTTTGGCAGGAATTCGAAATGTTGCGTGAGCTTAATGCGGATGTACCGCTGCCTAAGGTTTGGCTCTTCTTCGGGTGTCGCAATCGAGAGGTTGATCTGTATTCGAACGAAAAAGATCAGTTGGTGCGTGAAAACATATTAAATCGCGTTTTCCTGGCTCTTTCACGTGAGTCTAACATACCGAAGGTAAGACCAAAATAATGACTTTTCTCCTATTAAGTTTATTTTTATAACAACAGAGAGTATAACAGTTTTGTTCACATAGCGATTGTTAAGTCCGAGTGACTGTCTTTCTGTTCGTCCTTGCGAGGCTCTTCTTAGATATCTTGATGAAACTTGGTGTACAAGTTCGTTGGCGTTCATGAAATGTGAAAGTATAGTTTGGTACAGAGAAGGACAGTAGCGAGATCATCTGTTGGTCAAAAATTGAGCACGCCCCAGCCTCCCAATAAGTTAAATGAACATGTCTTATATACCACTTAAGCTGTATCAACTACTTGTAAATTTGCTCAGAAAAAATATTTTAGGCACTTCCTTTGACATTGGGAAAATGGGTGATGGGACGATTGCCCCGCCCACTTCTCATATAATGATTATGGTCAAAACTACTAAAAATGCGATAACTCACTTAATTGTCGAAATCGCACCACAAATTTTCAAGCCGAATATGACTTTTTACCGAAAATATAGCTCAATTTGTGAGATATACCATAGTATTGAAATTTCGAGCGAATCTTTATATGATAACAGTTTGCCTTATGACTTAAATCGATAAAATCGGGTGAATACTTCCTCTAGACCCCCATCTAATATCAGAACCTTTAAACATCCGGTTGATTTTATGCCTTATATATATTTGTCAATATGTAAGGTACATATCTTTATGAAACTCGAACGGCTTTCTTCATAGTGGCAGAAAGTGGATAAAATCTGTAAATTCGGTTTATATAGCTTCAGTGGTTTGGGAGATATGTGTATGAACAATAAATGTTTTAGGGGGTGGGAATACATCTGGTTTTCAGATATTATCAAACCGCAAGTGCCCCTCCCTCATAAGATTCGTTGTAACAAATTACAGTTTTGTATCTTAATTTCGTCTTAGTTATGGTACTTTACAGGTTTTCGATTAAAGGTGTTTTGTGGGCGCAGCAGTGATACAATTTCACTCATCTACAATACCGTACTTATTATGTTGCTAAGGAAACCAATCTTGTTAAAGATGTCTTAATTTTTACTCAAGTTTGTAACTCAAGTTACAGCTTGCATGGACAGACAGACGACGGACTCATCTCGTTGTCCTGGTCATTTATTTGTACAAAACTGCATATGTATATCGATTGGTTTTAGGTGATACAAACAACCGTTAGGTAAACAAAACTATTATACTCTGTAGTAACATGTTGCGAGAGTATACAAATATCTCATCTCTCATTTCGATCAAAGTGTATCCATTCCTTACCTGTTCGGCGTTTATTGTTTCTACTCTTACGCTTAACAACACCGATCGCATTATTGAATTAAACTTCGCATATCTTTGATATAGACTTACGTTCAGGACCTGATTGAAAAGGAATTCGATTCACTTTACAAGCTGATTGTCGAGGAGCAAGGTCACATTTACGTTTGTGGCGACGTCACAATGGCCGAGCATGTTTACCAGACAATCAGGTAAATGCGAAAAAAACAAAACGAGCGTCAAGTGCTCAAAAGATGGATTGTTCGAACTTTTTGGTTGCAGTTGAAAACACGATTAATCACAGACTAAACCTAGTTCCTATAAACAAAATTGTATGTTTGTATTGACGTCAACACACTGTTTTTATGCCATACCGTTATATGACAAATACATAGCTTGTAGGCACCCACAAGGGACTTTCAATTGACTGCTCCCTGATGTATTGCTGGTTTTCTAACTAACGACCTACTCCAGGAACTACTTCAGTACCAGTAATACAGTACAAATAATAGATTAAAAAATAATTGGATTAACATATATTAACATAACAACTAATTTTGTTTGTTTCGTTATCCCAAATACGGGATAAAAAATTTTTTTTGGAAAATTTGGATTAAAAAATAAAAATTTAATTTTTAATTAAAACATCGGGATTAACAAATAAAAAATTAATTTTTAATCCCAAATTTTTGAATTAAAAACTTCGTAACCCCTTTTTTAATTTAACCCGCTTCTAATTAAAATCGCAAGTTAACATGTTGACATGTAGATTTATGTTCAATTGAATTCACACAATAAAGGAGTTACCTAAAAATAGTAAACAAGACCACCTTCAATTCTAAGCTTCAGCATTACTTATACTTTAAATACGGCTGCATATGTACATACTATGTGCTTACTGCAATAAACATATCAATTGACACAGAATATTACACATAAATAGAGCTGCCACAGCGGTTACCACAGACTTGGAGAGTTGTTGACTTTGGTTAATCCTTGACACATTTCATGTACGCTTTGCCTCAGCGAGGGTATATAATACTTAATTTTTCCAAGCACGTAATTTTTTAGCTTTTAAGTGAACATGTATTGTACCTTAGGGTGTTTGTCAATTCCTAAGTTGATTTTTTTTTGCAAACGCCACTAGAAGTTTTAGTTTTTGCTCTAGAAAACGTATCCAACTCAAACAAACTCTTTATTTTCAATTTAAACCATCAAATGTAGTGACGCTTAGTAATTCAGTAACTAAGCATTCATACAATCCATTTGAAAAATAACGGGCACCCAAAAATAACTGTACATACGTTCATACGAGTGCATTTATATTATATTTTGACATACATTCACACACACAATTACACATTTGTTTGTAACATTTTTACAACAATTTTCACACCTTTCATATGTAGTTTTCATCTGGCATTTCTGAAATTCTCATTTTTGCAGGAAGTGCATTGCCGTAAAAGAGCAAAAAACTGAAACGGAAGTTGAGACATTTATGCTCACATTGCGGGTAAGTCAAAAGCAAGTATGCATGCAAGGACGTAAATGTGAAATGCTTTCAATCGTGCAGTACGTGAATGTGCCTTGGAACTAAAACAAGTACATATGTATGAGCTATGTTTGAATTAGAGGTGAATATGAGCTGGTGTGAATGTACGAATTTCGTATTACGTGGCATTGCTGTTCTTTAGTGTAATTTAGCTGGTGGGTATTTTGTCGACCGAAGTGCGTAGTTTCCAAAAATTCATCTGTTTTGAATTGTTCGCGCATATGTATATGCATATGTACGCGCATACATAGCACATGCAGAAATGTACGGTTTTATCTGCGAGTACTTTAAATTGTTCTGTTGCCCTACTATTCCACAACAGTATGCCAACAAAATAAAAACTTTTCACATTGTGTGTAAATATTTACGGTTGTGAACCTACTACCCACAATAAAGTTGATATAAATAGAGCACGGCACTGATAATAAGTTTAAAATGTGAAGATGAAAAATGTACTTAAATTGAGAATAGAGTAAAAAAACAAAAAAAAATATCACGGGTTTAGATCGGTTAATTTGTATGGTAGCAATGATACAGGGTTCCGATCTGAACAATTTCTTCGGAAATTGTACTGATAAATAGTAATTTCAAATTTGCTTAAGCTATCTTGTCAAATTAAAAAGTTTTCAATACAAGGACATGATTTTGACCATACAGTTTGTATGGTAGCTATATGCTATAGCGGCTACGACAAATGAACAGCTTCTTTGGGAGAAAAGTACGTATGCAAAATTCTCAGATCGATATCTCAAAAATTGAGGGACTAGTTTGCGTATAAACGGACAGACGGGCGGACGGATAGACACATAGACAGATAGACACGGCTAAATCGACTCAGTTTGTCATGCTGATCATTTATAAATCTATTTATAGTGTCTCCGACGTTTCCTCTTGGGTGTTACGAACATCGTGACTAACTTAATATACTCTGTTCAGGGTATAATTAAGATATTCTCTGAAACTTCGTAGATATTGTAACTCTGGTTAAACAAATTTAGGAAATTGGAAGTAGTCTCGCCCCAAAAAAGATTTTATTTGGGCATCTAACTATAGCAGTAGTCAACCAAACTATCTGGACAAATTTCTTTTAGCACCTTATCATGTTGTGTAAAAAAGGGTCGTATTATACGGGGTGGGTGGGCGTTATGGTGAAAACTGGCCAAACAGATTTTTCATAAGAAATTCTTCAAGTAAAATATGAATGGCATTAGCAAGTTCACGCTTAGACAAACTTGGATCTTCACTAACAATATGAACTTGCTCAATGATTTCTGGTGTGGTTGCGGTGTTTGGTCATTTTTCGCGTGGATCATCTTCAAGCCTAGTACGACTACGTTTAAATTTACCGGTTCAACGGTGCATTTTGAAGCTGAGGACTCCTTATATACTTCTAACAATTTTTAATAAATTTCCTTTACATTTAAACCTTTCAAAACAAAGATTCTAATCACTGCGCGATATTAAATTTTTTCCAATTAAAAAAAAATACTCTGTCACGTCAATTTCAAATGGCTTGTTAACAAACCATTAATTGACAGAATGACTTGTAACTTTGCATGTGTTCTCACGACAGATGCACCAACTTAAAAAAATTTTGAGCTAGTAGTGCTTTTTCTCTTGGTGAGAGCAAAAACTTTGCAACCAACCTGTATTTGCCCGGCATTGCTCTATTTGTATTGTGTCTCAACTAAGTGATATTGTATGCATAAATCATTTTTACATAGTGCTCTTGAAAAAGGTTCAAAAACTGTTGATACATGTACTAATAAAGCTATAAGAAGAACCCTTGGTTGTATCACCAAACAGAAGTCTCTTTGGCCACAGTATGATTTGCAAAGGTATTTCGACTTTCAGCTGCCAATATACCTCGGTACCGCTAACGATTCGCTCTTGCCTATTATGGCTTCCACTTTGAAATTGTCGATCATAAAGAGCTGATTCCAAAAAAAATCACCAAAACATAATACAAGTATTCTACACTACTAAAATGCAAAAATAACACGGCCATCTTTTTACAGACCAATGGAGGAGGTTTTTTGGTACCCTTACAAAATATTTGAAATATTGTTAATATAGTTATAAAGCACAAATTCGGGTTTCGTGCAAAATATGGCACTGTTATCAAATAAATAGAGCTGCTATCGAAATCCGAATGGCATTCGAGCACAGAGAGTACTGTTTGGCAATATTCCTTGCTGTTGCCTTGATAAGGTGTGTTATGAAAATATAGGGCAACGTTCGAGAGTAACCGAACATTTTAAAGACATGCGGAAATACTCTTAGGTGTTGGCAAAACTTATAATAAACATTTATGTAAGGGTTAAGATCTGGTGACACTGAACATTTTCGCAATATGTCGGTGTAATATTTTCAGGTGTTGACAAAATTTAATCCATACTTAACAATACATATAATATTATATTATAAATGTTAATGTAAATTTTTGTTATGCTTTCATACCCAAACCACTTAACCGAATATTATAAAACTTTGTACACAAATGTACTTAATTTCATCAAAATGTCACACATTTTGGCAAACCGTTTATTAATGTCATGTGGAAAGTGCTATATCAGGCTTAAAATTAGCTAGAAATTCGGAAATTACTATTTACCCACATTGGTATTAAATTAACTTTTGGCATTATTCAAGTCTACTCGATATTTCTTTCTACCCACTGAGAAGACTCACACAGTGACCGACATATTCGGTATAAAGTCTTAATAAAATAACGAAAATCCAAAAATATATGACATATGTATGTACAATTAAAGTTAATTTGGTTGATATTAATATAAATATCCGTATAAAATGGTCGGATGCACCCGAACTGTGAAGGCCTACATTACTTGTTAGATGGTAATTTGCTACATATTGATAAGTTTATATGTATATAATATTAGCTTTACCCGCATTGAATCTCTTAATTATATATCAAAAATCATATATGTATGATACAAGGTGCGTTCAAAAATAAACAGTAAAAAAGTAACAAAGTAAACTCTAGAGGCGCCATCTATACAATATGTCGACTAGTGCGTTTGAATCTGCTATCCTTTATCGACTTCCAGTAAAAATTTCATGACATTTCATCTATTGGAAGTCAAGTTATTGCGTTTTAAGTTTTGCAAATTGCTCAGAATTCAACATTCGAAGGACATCATTGCAAAATATTATTATTAATAGCATTTTCTTTCCTCGATGAAAATGGTGCCTCATTATATGGTAACATTATATAAATGTTCTATTTACATGACAAAATAACAAAAAAATGCCAATCAACTCTTTCGCAATATCCATTATTTTGCTTAACAAAATTAACCGATTCATTATAATTAGTAGAAAAACTTGATGAAAGAAAAGTACTATCATAAACGAAAAATAAAAATCGCCTGGGCTACTTCCACTCTTGAGTTGTAAAATAGTGCACTTTTTTCTGGTTAGAAGGCAACATTTTGAGAAAAGAACACACAACTTTGACAGCCCGGGTATAGGGCAGAATTAATGCAACATTTTTGTGAGGAAAGAAAACGCTATAAGTACATATCCTATGGGCTTTCTAATATCATTGGGAATATGTGTACAAAGTTTCAAGATGATCGGTTAAATGGTTTCGGCGAGAAAGGTTAACAAACAAACTTGCATTCACATTTATAATATTAGTATGGATTAGTATGGAGATATATTCATGTTGGCTGCGTGTGGTATGTTTGATCTTTAGTAATTAGTAAGTATATTAGTGCAAAATGCTTTAAAAAAATGTGTATATTATATTCTTTAAAGGATGCAAATCGTTATCACGAGGATATTTTCGGAATCACGCTACGCACCGCGGAAATACATACGAAGTCTAGGGCAACAGCACGTATACGCATGGCATCACAGCCATAGATGGAAAATATATACAAATACGCAGGCGCAAGGCCATACTAATAATTTATTGCCGTAAAGTTTAGTTTAATTTTTTAAGCATACTGTTTATTCATATATGTACATCTGTTAAGCCGTACTAGAAGACAAACAAAACCTTTTTCAAATTTGAATGGGCCATAGAATTGCTCGAGAAGATGCTATGAAACTTAAAATAATTAATTATATAAACCTTATATTCAAAAAATATGTAAAACAAATCAAAATCCTATAACTAAAATAAAGTACTCTCACTAATGCATACAGTTACATTAATTGGTAACTATCTCGAATAAATTACCATATTTCTATTAATGGTGCATTACAACACGTCGTTCGTTATATATGAGTAGAAACACATCATCCCCCCCCCCCATTTTCCACTTGATTATCGAATTTGAATATGAGTATTTTTTCATAAAGCAGTCACCATGAACAAGTAGTCTCCCGCTCAGTTTTTTTAAATTTTAGTTTTAACAACAATTTTTTTTAATTTAAAAGTTTTACTACTTTTAGTTAAAAAATTAATATATATTTAAAAAACTATTGGTGATTTTTTAAAGAAATTTTGAAGAGTTAGAGTTTAATACTTGAACTTTGAAGACATAAGTATGAATTAAAATTTTTTTTTCATATTGTTTATTAACTTTTAAGTTAACAAATAAAAATTTTAATGACTTTTCCATCAAAATATATAATGAATAGATAGATAATAGAATAAATGCCCTGAAGTCAACAATCCTGAGAAGTGAAATGATGTGATCGAAAATGAGGAAGAAAAATATCCTACTCTTCAATGCAAACCGGTAGATAACAAATTAAACATTGATAAGTTTAATAAATTATTAAAGAAAATTGGTGGAACTCCAATCAATCAATCCAAATCAAGAGATTCTAAAGTGATGTAGAATGTTACAAAGTTGTGAGTAAATTTACAGATAATATTAGGTCAAGTGAAAGTTCGTTCGGTTTTTTTTTTTTGATTTTTCAAAAAATGATAACTTTGTGTACATTTGTCCGATTTAAGTCAAATATGCGCCGTTTTGTTCGTAAACTTGCCAACGAGATGCCAACTTCATTATACCCCTCTCGTAGAAGGCTGCGTCCGTATTGGCAAAAAACTCGAAGAGCCAATTTTCACAGGCCTCTCTTGAGGCCAACTTCTCACCATTAAGCGCGTTCGCCATGGACAGGAAAATATGATAATCACTTGATGACAGGTCCGGACTATAAGGTGGGTCACCAAAGACGTGTGTGGCCTGGAGCTGTCCTGATGGAACACAATTCGGCCTCTGTTGATCAAAGATGGCCTCTTTTGGATGAGTTCTGCCTTCAAGCGGTCCAGTTGTTGGCAGTAGAGGGTTTGGCCATAGGGGAGCAGCTCGTAGTAGATGATTCCTTTCCAATCCCACCAAACACACAGCAAAACCTTCCTGGCCACCGTCTGGGCCGCTACCCCTAGCTTTAACCACGACCGTTTGTACTCGATGTTGTCCCATTTTTCATCGCCAGTCACAATCCGCTTCAGAAACGGGTAGATTTCGTTGCGATTCAGCAGCGATTCGCAGATGGAAATTCGGTTCATCATGTTTTTTTGCATTAGTTCATGTGGCACCCAAACATCAAGCTTCTTTTTGAATCCAAGGTTATGCAAATGGATCCAAACGATTTTCTGGCTTATTTTTAGTTCCTCAGAAATTAAATAAGTGCTCACGTGACGGTCTGTTTCCACTATTTCCATGATTTTATCGCAATTTTCGACGACAGGCCTCCCGACGCGTGGTGCATCTTTGACATCGAAATTACCGGAACGGAACCTAGCAAACCACTTTTGTGCTACACGTTCGTTTACAGTATCGGGCCCATAAACTAAATTAATTTTTCAGCCGCTTTGACTGCTTTTCGCCTTGATCGAAGAAAAATTGTAAAATATAGCGAATTTTCTCTTTGCTGGTGTCCATCTTTGACGGGCGCGAACTTTTAGCGCGAATAAACAGGTTTTCAGCGCCGTATTGTATGATATGATGCGAGACGTAGTAACACTAGTACTATGGCCATCTCTTAGATAAAAATCGAACGAACTTAACCTAATATTAATAATATAAATAATGAAATTGATCCAAAAGAGCTTTTACTCAATAACTTTAAATCTGATAAAACTAGTAGAGCTGCTAAAATTCAGGGTTTGACTACGCTTCCTACAGATTGGTCGATTAAAATGAGAGTTTAAAGTTTCAAACGAATAGAAACAACTCTAAACAATGTAACCCTCGATCGTATTGAAGCGTTTTTTCTATCCGATGATGATGAAAAGAGCATGTGATGGTTTGGCAGGAAGTTTTAAAATCAAGCATTTCGTGCAAGTCTTCAACGGAGAAGCGATACGCACATAACCAATGCAACTTCATTATTTGAATGGGGTAAGAATAAATTTAAAATAAATAAACTTTAGTTTTTGCTCTCAAGAAGATCATGACTCCCATGGGAAGAAGTTTAAATTACGTTATGACCGATGTGTAACCATTAAAAATACACGCCAATATTAACATTACAAAACTCTTAATAATACATGATTCGAGTGCAAAGTTTTCGCCAAAGACATTAAAATCGGTACCAATAAAGTTTAAAAAAAATTGAGATAAAGCAATACATATAAGTTATAAGAATTAATTTAAAAATTATTTAACTTCTTTGTTTTTTATTTATGAAAAAATATTTCATTTATTATCTGTCAATTGTTATTATATTAAATTAATCATAAAATAACGACATTTTTAATTAAAACATTAAGTATTATTCCTTCTTTATAATTACTAAGTAAATCTGAAGATAAGTCAATGACGCGCGGCAGCGCGCTTTACCGGCAGCGATTTCGTTACTTTCATGTTTATTGCAAAATATTGAAAAAAAACTAATTTTCTGAGGGAGAAGTCATTAAAATTTTCCTTTGTTAACATAAAAGTTGCTAAACAATATGAAAAAAAAAAAATTTTAATTCAAACATATTTTCTCAAAGTTCAAGTATTGAACTTTAACTCTTCAAAATTTCAATTCAATTCAATTCAAAAATCACCAATAGTTTCTTAATTATTAATTTTTTGACTAAGGGTAGTAAGAGTTTTCAATTAAAAAAAAATTGTTGTTAAAATTTAAATTTAAAAAAACTGAGCGGGAGATTACTTGTTCATGGTGACTAGTTTATGAAAAAATACTTACATTCAAACACGATGATCAAGTGGAAAATGGGGGATCCACTTGACGTGAATCACATTCATTTTAAATACATAAAAAACTAACTACAACTTGTACTAAACACTAATACCACACTGTTACAAAATGTAAAATATTTAAGATATTTAGTTTCAATTTTAGAGCAATAAGCATTATTTAAACGCATTCTATATCAAATAAATTCTTATTAAACTGTTAGTACCTTTGCACAAATGTAAGGAAAATAGTAAACACAATGACATACTGTTATCTATATTTATCTATTAATTACAGCATACTTATACTTAAAATATTGTATTTATTAGTTACAAGTATTTTACAAACGTTTGAGTAATATGTTGTGTCCTCCAAATGATAATAAATGTTGCAATACTTGTATGTGTTTGCACTTTCATCTTCATGTTGCCATTTAGTAATCACTTCTGCAGTTGGAGATATTTACTATAATTAATTCATTACTTTAAAATCATGATAATCGTAGGGAAGTAGTGTACATTAACTTTTTCTGATCATAATTTAGGTTAGCAATGAGTTAAAAGTACATACTTCATATGCGTACAACCGCTAGGTGGGTATGTATGGTATTTACCGAATTTTGCAATGTTAACCAAATACCAACACTATTTTATTGCTCTCATTCAGTTTGCAATACAATCGGAATCGAAATACCTTTGTGCTAGTGTAGGTGCATTTCTGATCAGTTTGGATATATAATATATACATATGTACGTAGCTCTGATTAAAAAATGGACGTGGTTTTTGATACAGAAACTGAACGATCGGAATTAAGTGCTTGTATGGATGTCCAAGGCAACGGTGCAAGCGGAAAAAATTGTTCAGATCGAATTGTTATATCTTACCATAGTCATTAAACTTACCGATCAAAATCAAGTTCTTGTAAGGAATATTTTATATTTGTAAAATGTATTATAGCTTTGCTGCAACCGAAGTGCACCTATTTTTCAGGAGAACATAGCACAAAAGCTTTAAAAAGTAGTTAACTCGAAATTAAATTGAGGACAGGATTATGTATTTCATAGTTCGATTTCGGCAGAATACAGATTTCCGTTGCCACAATTAAACTGATTTAGTTCAGTAAGCAATCAAATCATATTTGAAATAGAGTGTAAGTGGCATTGAGCTATAAGAATGTGTGATTTGACATTTTTATTTGAAATGAGCACTACTCCTAAGGTCTGTAACTCTTAAAATATTATAGTCATGATAACTTTGTGTACATTTGTCCGATTTAAGTCAAATATGGACGAGCTCCCTGACGCGTCCCCAAAGATGTGTGTGGGTGGCCTGGCGTTGTCCTGTTGGAACACAATTCGGCCTCTGTTGATCAAAGATGGCCTCTTCTGGATGAGTGCCTTCGAGCGGTCCAGTTGTTGGCAGTAGAGGACCGAATTGAGGGTTTGGCCATAGGGGAGCAGCTCGTAGTAGATGATTCCTTTCCAATCCCACCAAACACACAGCAAAACCTTCCTGGCCACCGTCTGGGCCGCTTCCCCTAGCTTTAACCACGACCGTTTGTACTCGATGTTGTCCCATTTTTCATCGCCAGTCACAATCCGCTTCAGAAACGGGTAGATTTTGTTGCGATTCAGCAGCGATTCGCAGATGGAAATTCGGTTAATCATGTTTTTTTGCATTAGTTCATGTGGCACCCAAACATCAAGCTTCTTTTTGAATCCAAGGTTATGCAAATGGATCCAAACGGTTTTCTGGCTTATCTTTAGTTTCTCAGAAATTCAATAAGTGCTCACGTGACGGTCTGTTTCCACTATTTCCATGATTTCATCGCAATTTTCGACGACAGGCCTCCCGACGCGTGGTGCATCTTTGACATCGGAACTACCGGAACGGAACCTAGAAAACCACTTTTGTGCTACACGTTCCTTTACAGTATCGGGCCCATAACCTAAATTAATTTTTTCAGCCGCTTTGGCTGTTTTATCGCCTTGATCGAAGAAAAATTGTAAAATATAGCGAATTTTCTCTTTGCTGGTGTCCATCTTTGACGAGCGCTCACAACGTACTGAGTCAATCAATCGAAGAACTGTCCAAGACAAACTTTTAGCGCGAATAAACAGGTTTTCAGCGCCGTATAGTATGACATGATGCGACACGTAACACTAGTACTATGGACAATAAAAATTAAACCCGTTTCCCGTTGTCAGGCCATAACTTGAGAACGGCTAATCGATTTGGCTGTTTTTTTTGTAGTTTTCAAATACTCTATAAAAGTTTCTTACGGAAAAAAATATTAAGAAAATGTCTCAGAAAGATTAAAAAAATACATTTAATTTTGCATATTTTTAAAAATGCGCGTAACGAATGTCATCGCTATTAGCTATATTGAAAGAGCATCGTTTGTTCGGAAATGTGGTTCTCTAATCAAATTCTATGGCACTAATTTACTAATTTTTGAAAATTACTTTCCACAATTAAATGTACCGAATTTGACGGTATTATTAATAATACCAGTGATGATTTCATTTTAAGGTAAGTATTTAATAATAATAAAATAAGTATACTATGAGTTAGATTTCAGAATAGAAGTTAGATATCATATACTAACTGCAACCAAATACGAAATGCCCTAAACTTCCAGCCAATTACAGCACTATTGTACACGGACAAATTTGATTAATTGCCCTATTTTCCCAGTCGCACAAAATATTTATTTAAATCATAACTGGCCCGGTAATTGAGCTATATAGACAGAAAAAAATGCTGAAATTAGTTTTAATAATAACATTTTACTAAATTAAACTGCTTACTCAATATAATTTAATTATACCTTAGCCACACCTTGGACTTCTAGTTTTATATAAATGTCCTATAAATAAGTAGGAAAATTGGACAATTCGAGCCCTTCTTTCGTACAACGGTCTTAAAAATGGTAAGCATGCTAAAATTCTTTGTCTTTTTTTAAATCATTCATATGTACTAAAATATAAATTGAATTGAGGGCATGGTACCGCATACTTTTGGATGAATATTTATTCATCACCAATAACTACTCATGGACGGGCCCATTTAGTCAACACCTACAATTGGCAAATAGGGTTGGTAATACGAACATACAGTCTATGCCTCCCAATTGTCAACCTCACCTTCACGTGTCACCCCATGTTTAATAGAAACGATGCTCTGACGACCGAGTATTAATTCCGACAGATTAATGACGACCTTCAGCAAGAAAAAGAGGATTACGCTCATTACTAGAACGAACCGAACTGTCGCGACTATGCAAAGAGTTCCAGCACTACCAACTTTTCGTGCTCGGCTCTGTGAAATCAGATGGGCTGACTCGAGCGAAATCACAACAACAACTGGACCAAAACTTCTTTTTTCTGGTAACCATCCCAATCAAGAAAGAGAATATGGCGTAGGATTTCTCCTCTCCAAGTCTGCTGCAGCACCCTTTATATAATAGAAAGCGCACGCAGTTAGGAACATCTCGGTAAGATTGCGTACAAAAGCAAGGACATGACAATGGTCCAATGTTATGCAAGGACGAATGTTACTGATTTTGCAGCGAAGGTTGCATTTTACAGCAGTATTTTTAACCGACATCAACAGAGGTGACATAGTTATCACTATGGGCGACATCAACATTTTTCACCACACATCTGGATGAGAGCGAGATAATCAATTGCGATTAAATCGCTGAAAAACAACAAAGCTCCCAGACCAGACACCATCAACCCGGAACTACTTAAAGCTGACCCTAAGATAAGTGCTCTGATTCTGCTACCCTTAATTAAAAACGTTTAAAATTCCGGAAAAATATCATCTGAGATTAAAAAAGGAGCTATTACTTTTCTTCCGAAGAAGAGTAACCTATCCGAGTGCAAACCCTGTAGAGGTCCACGTTGCTTAGCACGGGCAATAAAATCATAGCGCATGTTATTCACAATCGGTTCTCCAACTCGCTGGTGAAGGGGCTACGAAGAGAGCTGGCTTTTGCCCACGTTGCTCATAAAAGCACCTTGAGAGTAATTGCCGAGCAATTCTTTGATTAATAGCGTCGAAATTCAAACTTGTGTAAGAAAAGGCTGTGTTTTATTACCGCTCTTATTTAACTTAGTGCTTAACCTTGTAATGCGACACTGCGCTGTAAACAGAGGTATTTCAAGGGGTTTGAATGGCCACTTGAAGATTTGGACTATGCTGACAACATCTGTCTGCTGTCACATAATATTGAGATATATTAGCAAAACTTCAAGCAGTAAACCACGCTGCGGAGTGAACAACAGACATAATATATGAATAATAACTATTCTACCAATTTTTAAATTTTCATTATGCATATTATGTGTATGTAATTACAGCTATTTGAAAATTAGTTAATTCACCCATAACGGTCACATTAACACAAGCAACAATGAAGGCATAAACCAAAACTTGGGAATAATTTCTGGGACAGATATCGGCAGCCCACAGCCCATCGACCACCACCTAGGCGTGCCCTTAAACAGTATACAACGGTCAATATGTGAATTACAATTCGAACTAGAAGAGCGCTTTTGAATAATAATTATAAGCTTTATACCGTATATATCGGTCAATATGAAATATTTTTAGCAAAATGAAATGAACGTGTAATGTCGGATATATACATTTTAATACTGAAAATATTTTAATTCAGTCGCGAATTACCCAAGCTCTCATATAACATTACAACATTTTTGTTATTCTAGGTGACCTTATTACACGAATATGTCGACCAATGGGTTATCTTCACAAAATTTTCTCACTATACTTGATTAATGCGAAAAATTAATGCAACCAGCCAAACCTTCCCTAGCCCAATATAACATATATAGCAATTTCCGACTTTACAGTTGAACCGAATAGTGGTTTCCGATTTTCCATCTAACCTTAAACCCTTTGTGTTGGTAAAATGTGTGATATTTAGTGAAAGAGGATATGTTTTCTTAAATATATTCGGTTGGGCGCAAAATGTGAATGAAAGTCATCTAGAATTGGTCTAAACCTAATATCCTCATATAATGACTTGGTTTGCCATTTCCATGAAAATAATAACATATATTGGAATAAGAACGAAGCTAAACAAAATACGAACATGTTATTTGTAACTTAAGTATAACATAATACATGTGTGGTTTATAAACATACTTTTTTATACATGTTTACATACATAATTTCTCCAACGTCTAAATTTAAAACTCTCCTGAGTTTAACATTAAATCAATTTAAAGGGAGTGTTGATGTTTTCCTTCAAATTTTTTGTATGATTTAAACTATTTACATTTTGTAAATTATTAAATATAAATTTAGGTCATTTTTATGTCGTAGAGATTTATAGTTTTTTAATATATCCTTCTAGAGGGTTATATATTAAT